CAGGAACCATCTTCCAATCCTGTTTAAGAATTCTATCTCCATTAAGTGGGCAATAAAATATGACACATACACAAGATGAACTTTTATCAGGTCACCTTCTGAAAAAAACAGACTTAGACAAAATGTTCAAGTTACCCATGACTTTAGGAACATTAATGATTATTCTAGCTTCAAATTCTAATTAATCTGGCTTTAAATTAAACAGTAAATTGAAACGAAGGACAGCAATTCAAAATAATGATTACTAAGGAGAGTTATTTTTATTAAATACTATCCATAAACCATATTTCAAGCTATTTTTAATACTTTATACCAAGGGACTTCATCTAGATAAATGTAGGGCAAGTATTAACCTGTTCCTTCAAATACAGTAATACTTTCAAAACCAATATATATTATGTCCCAGCAATATCTGTGTACCATTACTGCAAGTTACAGTGTAACACATATATCCTGCTACAATAAGAGATACAGACTTTCCCCAAAGACTTCATAGCAAATTTACTGCCTAAATGACGGGGAACACTTTCACTCAGAAAGCACACCTGGAACAAGGAACACACCTCAAAGAGACTTATGCAAACATAAGAGACTTTCTGCAAAACAAGTAACTGGGGGAGGAGCTGGTCACCGAAGGCCTTAGAATTACATAAATTAACACGAAAGAAAGATTGTTGTTTAGCCGACATAAGATAATATCTGATTTTAAAAAACAGAAAGCACAAAACCCTGTTACGCACAATAAAACGTACCTTGAGAACACAGGTGCTTGGAATCACAGGACTCGAACGAGGCCATTCGCTGTCCATCAGCATTTCTCCTTCTAAAATACTCTGGAACCCGCCCTAAACCATTGCCAATACCCAAAGTACAATTTCGCCTGTCCTTCCGGCTCCCGGGCACCTTCTCACCCCCGATTACGCTCTCCAATCCCAAACAAGGTTACCATGCAACACCACACGCTCTCCCAGGCTGTCAGCACGCACAACTAAGCCTCCCACCATCTTCCGCTCCTCCCGTGGCGCATAGGCGAAAAACTGAAGAGAAACGTAGCTCATTTCCGGCTCCTGGTAGAAAAAAAAATATGGCGGAGTAACAGCTTGATGCGGGCAGGAATAATTAAGTTGCTTTGTGATGTGACACGTGCTTTGTGATGTAATATTTCATGCGTGAAAAATCAGTCGCTTTGAAATCTACGTATTTTTCACCATTCTACTACTGTTTTTGAATGCATGGTGATTTCTGTTTTTCGAGGTTCAAATATAAACGTTATAGCAATGAAAGTGCATCATATTCAAATAAAGTATGACATAAGGAAAGGAGCAAGTCTAAACAGGTCTACTTGAAAGTAAACTGCATCTTACTTAATGGGCTTACTCCTAAAAGAATTTTAGAAGAAATTATTGTTGGTTAGTATGCACAACAGTTTTGTTTTCATAATTTATCATTATAAATCATGTAGAATGTGTAGTTTATTACGATTTACAAGTGGGGACTTGGGTCGCCAACTTCCAGGTGGTGGCTGGAGATCTCCTCTTATTACAACTGATCTCCAGGTGACGGAGATAAAAAATCACCTGGAGAAAATTGCTGCTTTGGAAGGTGGACTCTATAGCATTATAACCCATTGAATTTATTTATTTAACTTATACCCCGCCCTCCCAGCCATGGCCAGCTCAGGGCGGCTTATAGCAGAATAAAAACAGCAATAAATAATATAATGATCATAAAACCATATAACAATTACAACATTAAAAGGTGCTAACAAATAATAATCCAGATACCACTAAACAGATAACAATTTAACATTGCATTTGGGATGATGCTCAAACTTCAGTGCCTTCCTAGTGGTTGATCCCGATCTAATATTGTGTGGCTGGCTCAGGGTGCTTTGAAGATTACAGGGGGCAGGGTGTTTCCCCTGGGACAGCTCCTAGTTGAAAGCCTGGCGGAACAGCTCCATTTTGCAGGCCCTGCGGAACTGCATAAGGTCCCGCAGGGCTCTGATTTCCTCCAGGAGCTTGTTCCACCAGAGAGGAGCCGCCACCAAGAAAGCCCTAGCCCTGGTTGTAACTAGTCTGGCATCCTTTCATCCGGGAAGGGTGAGTTGATGTTGAGACCCTAATCGCAGTGCTCTCTGGGGAACATGTGGGGAAAGGCGGTCCCTCAGGTATGTAGGTCTCTGACCATTTAAAGATAAGAACCAGCATCTTAAGGCGAATTCAGTATGCTATCGGTAGCCAGTGCAATGCCTTCAGCCCAGGCAGAATGTGCTCCCGTATCGGGAGGCCCATTAAAAGCCTGGCTGCTGCATTTTGCACCAGCTATAGCTTCTGAATTTGCAATAAGGGCAGCCCCATGTAGAGAACATTACAGTAGTCCAATCTCGAGGTGACTATTGCATGGATCACCGTTGCCAAGTTGGAAGGAAACCAACTGACTAACTAGCCGAAGTTGATAAAAGGCCGACTTGGCAGTGACTGCTACCTGGGCCTCCATTGTTAAGGAGGAATCCAGGAGCACTCCCAAACTCCTAACCTCGAAGGTCGGGAGTAGGATTCCTACCCTTAGTCCACCTCAACTCAGGCACAGGACTTCGTCAGATTTAATTTCAGTTGGCTCAGCCTAAGTCCCTTCCCAAACCCTGCCCTCCTTAGGCTCCACCCCCAAAATGTCCAGGTATTTCCCAACCCAGACCTGGCAACCCTAGGGGGACCAGCAAGGACTTCTTTGGGGCATCGCATTCCCCCCCCTTTCCTATAGCCTTTCCTCTGTTCCAGCTTTCTTTCCTCTTTACCACCCACCAAACTACTTTGTTCCCTCCCCAGTCTTAATGTTCCCCTCTTTCTCTTCCCCTGTACTTGGGAAAACTATGGCCCAATTGTGTCATGCCAGCCCCTGGGTTTGGTCTAGTTGCACAGTGCTGGCAACCTGGTCAGGCACAGTTGAGTAGAGCTAGCTGCCCAGCTGTACCCAACAGTGCTTTGCTAGTTACTAGGCTGGGTCCAGTTGCATGGTGGGGTACCCACATGAATTTGCAGTGGGCACCTTATGCTCCCTTGCATCACCTTCCCCACAATATTACACCTTTGCACCCTCCTGGGTGCACCTTCCTCATCTTTCCATGCTTCCTTTTCTCTCTCTGAAATGTACTGGGTTCAGACCCGTAGAGTGATTAGCTCATGTTTATTAAGTGGTTTCAGCTCAAAACTAAGACAAACTTGCAGGGTCAGAGCCCTGCTTATATTCATGAAACACACCACACCCAACACATACCCCACATCCCATGATAGGCTATTTACAGAGTATTGTTTACCAGTTGGCTACTACGAGGATCCGGGTCAATCAATTAGTTCATTCTAGGATCCAAACCTTCTATAGTGATGCGCTCCAAGCTACGCTATTCCGCATGTTCACTAGCGAGCCCTTTCACAAGTACGGTTCCATCACGATACATAACACTCTCTCATCCATCAAAGCCAACCATGCAACAACCTACCTTTTATCTGACCCAATCTTCTGCTACATTTATTATTTATTTACTTTGTTTATATCTTGCTTATCTGTACAGTAGTTAACCAAAGCAGCTTACATACTTCTCCTCTCCTTCATTTTATCCTTATAACTACCATGTGAAGTAGGTTAGGCTGAGAGACTGGCCCAAGGTCACCCAGTGACCTTTCACAGCAGAGTTGTGTTTTGAACCTGGTTCTCCCAGATGCCCTGACCTGAGTGGCCCAGGCTAGCCTGATCTTCTCGGATCTCAGAAACTAAGCAGTGTTGGCCCTGCTTAGTATTTAGAAGGGAGACCACAAAGGAATACCAAGGTCAGTATGCCGAGGCAGGCAAACTACCTCTGAACATCTCTTGCTTTGAAAACCCTAGCAGGGTTGGCATCAGTTGGCTCTGACTTGATGTCACTTTCCACCACCTCCCAGATCCTAGTTTGAAGGTCTAACAACTATACCTCACTGGCTTTCATGGGGTGGCTGCTACTGAATAGTAGAAAGCAGCTGGGCTTGGGTGAATCATGGAAGTTGGGTGGTAGCAAGTTGCCCATTGGTTGCTGCCTGGCCTGGACCCAATTAGTCCTCCCTCAAAAAAAAGTAAACTGCATCTTACTTAATGAGCTTACTACTAAGAAAGAATTTTAGAAGAAACATTGGTTGCTGCCAGGCCTGGACCCAATTAGTCCTCCCTCAAAAGGCAAAACAGCCCCAGAAAAGGCTCTGCTCCTCCAGTTGCCTTTTACTGATAAGACTTGAAGGCTTGCAACAGGAGTCATTTTGGAGGTTTTCATTTCATTTTTGCAAACCTGGGGACATTTGTATGAAGATCCATGTTGTCTGTCCATAGCTCCAGTCTCTGGCTTTAGGTATCCACAGATCTGGTCACACTGAGAAAGCAGTGGCTCTATGGCACTTTCCGCCACCACCATGAAGTTGTTATAAATTAGTTGAATCACTGGGCCACCTGTCTTTACAAGTATTAATCATGCAGTTTGTATATTTGTGGCTTATTACTAGAAACTCTCCCAAAGGCTGGATTCAAGTATATGAAATGGGCAATAGAACTTCTACTGCCCAGCATTATACCTTGCATGTTTTTACTTACTTTGTGTTGCTGTTTGTCAAGAGGTAAATTTACAGAGCCATTTTCTCTAAGTAGAGTTCACTGGATTGATGGCATTGCCATGTTTGGAATGATTTTTACTATATGAAACCATTTATGGGAGTATTTGTAAATCAGATTTGTTCTTTGGACAAGAGGTGTCATTTCAGTTGTAGCTTCAGTTAAATTGGCACCTCTAGTTTGGTAGATTGTCCACCAAAAGGCAATCTACAGCCAGTTGCAGGTTCTCCTAAATCATACAAGATCTTCCTAAGTGATGCAGACACTGGAGTGCATCATTCCAAGAAAGTAGCATGAGGACCTGCTCGTACCTGCTTTCCTCTTCTGCTTGGAGCCTGCATAAATTTTAATAGTTCAGCTAATGATCTCATTCTCCTTTATTTTGTATTTCTCTTCCTCTGCTATCAACAGTTTAATTATATCAGCGACCAATGTGCTATTTTAGTAGATGCTAAAGGTTCTGGTATGACTTTGGTGTGAAGAGAATCAAAGTTTTGCATTTAGGTAACTGGGGGAAAAACATTGATGTGCAAATGCTGAGAGTAATTAACTGAGCTACAGTGGGGCATTTTGAGGGCCCACCCCTTAATTAAAAACCACACCCCACAAATAGCCATGCCAGAAACCTTTATATATATATATATATTCCAATACTTTAAAGTCATGCTTGCTGGTGAGCAAGCAGCCAGGTGGACGAGAGCCTCTAGCTGGCTGAGGAGCAAGGCAAGGAACCCGCCAACATGGGGCAGTTGCTTCTGTTACTACCTCTGCCTGAGGCTGCTGTTCCTTCAGGGCTGCCCTGCACTGTCACCACAGCTACTGCCTTCTCCATGAAGCCCACAGGCAGGGACAGGAGCCACTCCAGCCTCAGCTGCCGAGAGTTGCCGCTGGCTGGCCGGCCAGTACTTGACTCATACACAGGGCAAGAAGGGAGATGAAGAAAGGACAGCTGGGCAAGGGACCCACAGCTTCCTCCTACTCCTCCTGCTGCTGGCGAATGGGGGCAGAGACAGGCACTGCTCCAGTCAGTCCCCTCATGAGGTTGCTGTGCCCGTGAAAGTAGGAGGCCCCCCTTCTCTCGGTCCATTCAACCTCCCCTGCCGGCAGCCTGTATTTCCTGAATTTAGTTAAATTTAGCTTTCCTGGTAATTTAATTAACTGTAATGTGATCAACTCTGATTACGTTAACTGTCCCCTAGGAAATTTAAATGCTCCCTGACCAAAAAAAATAATAAAATCCTGGCTACGGGCCTGACTGAGACCCATCAATCTCTAATCTTGACATATTTCCTTCACTATGTTGGCCCCCCAGATTAAAACCAAACAAATGTTAACCATATAAATTTAGCTTATTATTCCTGTTCAGTAATTGAATCTGTTAAACATCTTCATTATGCTAATTTATTGCTCGCCCTTCACCTATATTTATGGGATGGTAATTTCCATTTCATTGTATCTGACGAAGTGTGCATGCACACAAAAACTGATACCTTGAATAAAACTTTGTTGGCCTTAAAGATGCCACTAGACTCAAACTTTGTTTCACTGCTTCAGACCAACACAGCTACCCACCTGAATCTATTATAATTCTAGATGTGTAGCTGTTTTAGTCTGTAGCAGCAAACTAAAACAGGAGCCCAGCGACACCTGAAAGACTAACAAAATTTATTCTAGAAGCTTTTGTACATATACCTCCACTAGACTGATAGCGGAACTGTCAGGGTGCCAAACAAATCTCTCCTAGCTCCTTGGAAACCGTTTACTACACAGGAGCAGAAGTACTACAAAGCTGTGTTTCCAGCAGGGCCAGCTGCTTTGGAAGAGCCACTGAGAGGTCCAGGGAATCAACAGAGTCACACTCTGGGTGCGGTCAGATGGGCCATTCAGTCTACTTTCAGACCGCCTCAGAAACGGATATTATCTACACAATCACACAGTCAACATCTTCCCATCCCCAGCCGTTGCTTTCCAGCTCAAAACTGCTTTAACCTGGAGTATTTTGATACCCCGTCCCCAAGTGGTGTTTTCCTGATTCTTTGGTTCCAGCCGCATTTTCCCCCTGTGTGATCGCGCCTCCGGTGTCGAGCCACTTCCGGAGCTGACTGAGGCTTCTGCTTTTCAGCCGCCATTTTTTAAAAAGCGTTGGCGGTGTGCACATAGGCGGAGGTCCGCCACCGACCCCTCGGGGTGCGAGCCACTTCCGGTTTAAACCCCCTCCCCACTCGAAAGCTGCCCGAGGCTTCCACTTTTTGCCCGCTGTTTTTTTTTAAAGCGTTGGCGGTGTGCGCATAGGTGGAGCTCTGCCACCGCGTTATTAAAAAAAAATGTTCAGACAGTGCCTAGTTTTAGCGTTTAGACAAGTTCAAGATCTCATGGAGGCCATTTTCGGGGTAAACGTTTAAAGGGAAGTGTTACAGCAGTCGGGTTGAAGTGGCAATC